CCCCTCTCCCCACGTCCCCACACTAACACTAGCCCTCATATTTTAAACGTTTCACAAATAAGACGGTATCTTCTTACTTGAGAAGAATTGAATGAATAGGAAAAGGAAATAAAACTGGGCATTTTATTGTATAGGTAGTGTCGACTTGTCTCCCTTCATAGAGTCCCAACTTGCCCTGATAATAGAAAGAAAGTAAGATAACAAGTAATGGTAGCTCTTCTTTATGACTTTATCGTACTCATCACATGGAACCTACTACCAGCTTTGAAACAATTGGGGGGTGGGGGGGGGGGGGGTAGAGGAGAGTATAATGGGGGCAAGTGCCAGTGTTAACTTTATCTACAAATGAAGGACGATAACAAAGTAACAGAGAGCCAAGCCAGACTGCATGTTAGTCTCCACTATACTGTGTTTTAACATGACAAAACAGGAAATAACTGCCAACAAAGAAAACTACCTCAACTTCCCCCAACTAAAAAAACTGACCTTGGGAATATTCTCCATTCTATTAATTTAAATTAACTTAATCATTTGTATGCTCTCTTTACTTAGTGCTAATGCAATCTAACATACAAAGACAAGCTCTCCTTTTGTCGACAACATTATAAAACTGATTTACATTAAGGAAACAACAAACCACATATGATCATGCATTTTATGTTTGAGCAGCTTTATGTAGCAATTCCACAGCCAAACGTGTTCTCCACAAGAAGGGTAATCAACAATTAAAATATGTTAAGAGTCATGAAGAAAAGATATGATAAACCAAGAGCAGAGCTAGTGTATAAGGTACGGGTTCGATCGAACCCATAAATTTTAAATGGCCCGCCTTTATTGTAGACAATAGTTGAATTTGAGTATTTCTAATATTCAGGAGAATGTTATATGCATTGGGATGGTAAGACTATATAAAGTACAATCTTGGAGTTTCATAAATTTCGAATCATGTCAAATTGTAGACTCCTTTTTTAAACTCTAATTAAGACAATAACCAAATACCACAATTTTCAAGAATATAAAGCAAATAAGAACTCCCAACGACTTTCTCATTTCTGAATGCTTTTTAAACTTAAGAATGAATTGAATCATAACACTGGAAACTTATACCAAAAATGGTAGGCTTTTCAAACCACGAGAGGACAAAAAGCTTAGATTAAAAAAAACCTTAAAAAACAAGGCACATGGGTGTCCAAAATTAAGCAGTAATAGCTTTACTAGTATTCTGAAAGGCACATGAATAAGGTAGGCAATGACTGACTGTCCTTTGTTAATTCTGTAATCTGATTTGTTGTTTCTGTTTTTTGGTCTGATTCTTCGTCATTAAGCTAATCGTTTCTTTTCTTCCTCTTTTTTTTTTTTTTTTTTTTTTTTTTTTTCCTTTTCGTTTTTTTCTTCGCCCTTTTTTACACAACAACCCCACTACAAGTGAAAAAGCATGTAAAGGGTCCACCTGTCCTCTCCACAAAATTCTATTCATATATGATAATACTCTCACTTTAATTAGGATGACAGTTTGGATCTAATCTCACAATTTTCAGATTAATGATAATTAATTCAGCTTCAATTTGGTTATACAAATAGACCTTATCGTATCCGACAACAGTGTTTAAAAGCCAAACTTATATAATTGGAGGCAAAACAAAGAATTTTGTAGACTTGTACAAACGATCCAGATAGATGATACCAATTAATTGTTATGGAAGGCGTAGTGTTCTTAATTTGTTAACCCTTCAACTTGAAAACTGAAAATGCTTATTTATATTGATGTTTAAACCAAACCAATGAATATATGATTTGATTTTTTACATATAATTTTATTATTAATTACTTAACCATAACTTTTTTTTTTTTGAAATAAAATATTGTATAGCCGCTGTAGAAATAATAGCCAAAAAATATATAAAATTTATATATATACAAAAATGAACAAGTTTTATACACTTTTTCGGCTACCATATGTAAATAGTTTCTAGTACGGGCTAAAAGTGATAATACCCCTTTTTTTTTCTTCTTGTGTAGCCATCTAGTATTCGGTACCTGCCGGTCTGACTAATCCACATTTATGCTACTTAGGACCCATGAAAAGGGAGTGCTCCCTAACTTACCAAGGATTTCTTTATTCACCAAGCTCGAATCTAAAACCTGTAATTAAGGGGTAGAGGAATCTCATTCATTAGCTAAATTCTTACACACTCCTAATGTCCTACCTCAAAAAATTATTTAAGTTTGATATACAAAAATGATTTAGTTATATTGGCGTAAGTTTATTTCTGTCGAACAAAAGACTAAAAGGTGAGGCAAAACTAATTGAATAAAGCCTTTGACATGATATGATAGCAATTACCATGGAGAGAAAATACAAGCAGAGTGGGATGGCTATAATTTCCTTTTGATTCGTAGACCTCCTTTCTCACCAAATGTTACTTCTCCAAAAAGAAGGGAAAACAAAAAGAAAGAGAATATTCTATACGTATAATCAATCCCAAGCAGATCCCTTTAGTATGTGCCTCTAAGATAGCGGTTAGTGTGTTCTTTGTATGCAGTTGATTAGCTTAGTTACAGTCATCTACACCATTTATTGATAAACATATTATTGATTGAAAGCTTGACGTGGAGATAGGATTATATTCATTTTTCATTAATCAATGAAATGAGTGAATTCAATACATATTAGCAGTTTTTTTTTTTTTCGTCTAGTGTCTAGTAGTAATATATAGTAGTTGAGAAGCCTCCCGAATTGGCTTGATCCATATTACTAAAGAATTCTCGCCATCTCATATAAAATCAAGTGTGAAGCCCGGCTTGTAATGTCTAGTAATTTCAAAGTTAATAGGAGTACAAGAAAAAATTTCCTTTTAATTATCTGTTCATTTTTAGCATATTAAAAGAGATTTATTATTTTCTTTCAATATTAACCGTTAGTATTAAGTACCCAAACTTTTCAAATTTATTAGAGTTACTACTTTAATAATCATTAACAAGAGTAATTTACTAATCCAGCAATGTAATATTCCCCTCCCTTTTCCCTTTTCCCCTTTCCCTCCCCCCTAATAGTTAATAAATTATTTTAAAGATATTGTAAGTAAAAACTTTCAAAATAAGAGGTTTCAAAAAGTACATAATATTTTTAGTTGTTTTAAAAATAATATATAGTACTCCCTCCGATCTACTTTAATTGATTTTTTATTCTTTTGCTTGTGGTCCACAATATTTGATTTTTTAGATATCAAAAAGGAATTAACTTCTGTTTTCCAAAGTTGCCCTTGGAGTAAAGAGACTAGGAGTATTTGCTATATTTTTATTGAACAAATTAAGGTAAAATATGGTCATTTTATCTTTAATTAATGCTAAAAGGTGAATTTCTTAATACGTGTGAAAACAACCAAAAAATCAATTAAAGTGAACCTAAAGGAGTATATTTTTTGTGCATATATGTATTATATTCATATAATTAATAAACGGAGAAGCAAAAATGCTCTTGAACTATTGAAAAAGGTCTAAAAATACCTTCCATCCACCTATTGGGCTAAAAATATCCTTTCATCCACTTTTTTGGTTCACTTATACCCTTTGAGCGTTAGGTCAATGCTGAATTTAAAAAATAATTATTTAAATTCCACATCACAATTTCTTATTAGTCGAAATTAAAACATCTTACCTATTAGAAAGATCTACCCATATCTACCCGTTTTTCGGACTAACCCGCCCCAAACACTAACCTGACCCGAATAAAAAGTTTAAATAAAAAAAAGATGCTCCATTTCTATCTAACCCGTAGATTTACATGTGTTCATTTTCTTGATTAATCTCATGTACAACATTATCATCGAATAAAGATTCATGAACAAATTAAACAAATAAGAAAAGCCTAGCATGAATGAGCCAATGATTTTCTTGACAATAATGTGGGACCGAAAACTAGGGGTAGTCCAACGGTTTTTGATATCTTCCAAACAATCACTTTGAGATCTTTCCGTTACGTTAAAATGATTAAATTAAACTCATCTTGAATATAATACAATTTGTATCTATCATGTAAATTGAACTGGATGCCATAACAAGAAAAAGAAAACCACATAGTAAATTTACGTCTATATGTTTGCTGCAACTTCCATAGAGCTTTTGTTCCATGGAGTTTGATAGAAGTAGGGCCTCTTTTTTTTAGTTGAACTTTTTGTTCGGGTCGGGTTAGTTTTTTAAGCAGGTCACTACGAAAACTTGGTAGATATGAGTGTCTTTCTAATGGGTTAGATATTTTAATTTTGGCCAATAAGAAGTTGCCACGTGGAATTTAAATAATTATTATTTTTA